TAAAAATTTATTAAACTAGCAGATTCCTACAAGGCGTTCGTAACATGATCCCTCATGATAATCCCATAAAGTCGAGGAATCAAATCTCCAGCTTCGGAACTATTATGGCGAAGCGTGCAATCGACTATGCCGGCAAGTGGACGGTGAGAAACGTGGTTCTCATGGCGGAAAACTAACTCATCTGACGACCACGGTGGTGGAACCCACCTACCCCTTCTCGAAGAAGGGCGAGACTCGGTCTCTAAGGCATCGTCACTCATGCCCTTAAGAACTGTGGGAATGTCCTCCCGAAAAGCTGGACGCAGGCCACGAGTGGAAAGATCGCGATCCCGTTTTCTAGGCATGCTATCACAAAAAATAAAAGTCTAAATGCTTAGCATCATTTCCTAAGTTATTTAGTTATTTACTCAAAAATGGCTTAACAATTAACTTAAGTGGCATTTTCTATTATATGCAAAAATTTTACCTCAAGTCTATAAATTAAAAAAATAATGGAATTATTTCTAGTATTTAGTTTCTCCACGACGAACTAATATTATGTTCTCCTAATTGCATGATACTATGTTCTCCATGACAATGTAGTACATACACAAAACAAAACATGTTTCAAAATTGCACAAGAACAATAAATTGGCACATCATGGCATATTTTACAAAATCTACAACAATATATCACCATTTCAAGTGAAAAAGAACAACATGAACAACAAGAACACCATTTCACAAAAGTAGTACAAAAAATGGTGATTTGCTCAATTCTTCACCAAATCACACAAACATGGTCTCAAATTGCTCACAAACACATATACATCCATATACAAGTCAATTCATAGCGATAATTTTGACACGGAAGCTCAAAATTAAAAACCCCCATTTTGATTTTTTAGGGTTTCAAGCAAAAATGGAATCTACAATAAAATTTGAGACAAAGTAAAGGAAATTTACATAGATCCTTATGAAGAAATCGAAAATGAAGAAAGTAGCAAAAAATGGGAGTGAATTTGGTGGAAATTCGGGCTAAAAAAGTTGGAAAACCCGAAACGCTGCAGCAACAACCACCATGACACGGTGGCTGAAAACCGCGACACAGTGAATAATTCCCGTGCGGTGACTCTGGGTGATGGCGGAGCTCCGGCAGCAGTAGCGGAACTCAGGTAGCAGCAGCAACAGCGAAGAAAAATAAATAAAAAAATATATAGTCGTGGCACGGTGAAAATTTCCCGTGTCACGGTTGTGCGTGACGGGCGCCGGTAATGGTTGTCGTGGCACGGTGGTCGGAGATGTCAAAAGAAAGAAAAATTTTTTGAGAAAAAAAGCTAAGAATAGAAATGGTGAAGGAGAGGTGAGAAAATGGGGAAAAGCTCGAATTTAAAGCAAAAAAAAATAGTCGTTGTCATCCTCCGTTCCATTCCACGTACCCCGTTACTAGGTAACGGTAGGATTTCAAAAAAAATAAAAAAAAAAAAGAGAGAAAGTTCCGCGTCACGGGGATTCTTCACCGTCTAACGGGGGCAGGCACCGTGTCGCGGGATATTTCCACGTGGCATGGTGATCTTTTTTAGTCCCGCACGCTCCTTTTGGTCAGTTATTCTCTCACCGAAATTGCGCAGAAAATTTTTAATTAGTATTTAAAAGGTGTCAAAATTATCGACTTACTCCTAACAAGCATTAGGGTTGTACTTTCGACACTTTAAGCGCCTAATATAGTTAGATAGTCGACTTGAAGGTAAATCATCTGCAGCCCACGTTCGGGGATAATCGAACTATCATGCACTTACAAATTTCAGCAATTATAGTTATCGGTTTTTCTTATGCATGGAAAACATTATCGGTGGATTTTTTCTTCAAGTATAGAAAACCGCCAAGTCGACTTTTCTCAAGCATGGAAAGTGTTATCGGTGGATTTTTCTTCAAGTATAGAAAACCGCCAAGTCGGATTTCCTCAAGCATGGAATGCAATATCTGTGGATTTCTTCAAGCATAGAATGACACCAAAATCATACGTCGAATTTCCTCAGGCATGGAAAATATCATCCGGTAGGTTTCTTTAGGCTTAGAAAGCTACAAAACTCGTTAGTTGGCTTTCCTCAAGCATGGAAAGCATTTCAACAAACGTCATCTGGTGGATTCCTTCAAGCATAGGAAGCTACCAAACTCATTTGTCACCGATACACTAGTGTCAGATATATGTATTCTACCCCTTTACTCTTTTATCTGTGGAATTAACATTTTTTTGCAGGTTATCGGCGTATATAGAGTGATTTAGGATCGCAGAACGTCTTAAATCATTCTCCGTCCCTATCGACTACTTTGACTATCGTTTTCCAAACTGACGTTTCTACAAACTCAGTCAAAGTGGGGGCTTCTGTAGACACCTAAAAATGTCTCCCCAAAAACAAACCCGATGATGAACAACCTTTCACCGCCACTATTGGTCGGGTTTAGTATTTAATCCCGAGAGTGCTTAAAAAAATCGTATTTAATTAAATTCAATTTTTTGAATAGTCCATGGATTCAGTCTTGATGTTTAGTCTAAGCAAAGTTCTTTTTTTAATTTCAGCCCAAACCTTTTTCATTTTATTAGTTATTTTGGCCCAAACCTTTTATTTATTATATTTATTTATTTATTTTAGCCCAATTAATATTAATAAATCAGAAATGGCCAAAAATTATAAATCGGCACTTAAAAATGCTGAACGAAATTAGGGTTAAAAACGAATTTAGACGGACAAATGGACTACAGGCTCCCACGTCACGGTAGTAGTCCATTGTGTCACGGGAATGTTCCCTATCTGACGGTGGGATTCCCCGTGACACGGTGCCTCTCCTGTGACACGGGGCAATTCCGTGTCCTTTCTGCGTAAACCCTTCACGCGTTTTATTCCCCGTACTCTAAATATTTTCCACATCACACAATTGTTCACCGTGTCACGGGAACTTGTGCCATCTGACGGTGCCAGGCACCGTGTCACGGTGCCCTCTTCTGTGTCGCGGTGCATTTTTTTAGGGTTTTTATCTTTTTAGGGTTCCGTGTGTTCCCTCAGCACATTTTTTCTATAAATACCCCCTCATTTCTGATATACGGGGCATCACTTAATTCTCTATTCTTCTCTTCCCTATGCTCTAGCCTAAACACTAGCCTACCCTTCTTCTTACAAAATTCCTTCTTCAAGCACTCCAAGGAGTCCATACTTTACTCGTGGTTATGTCCTTAAGCCAAGGCGTTAAAGGTATAGCAATTATTTGAGGGTTTGGCCCCAAATCAACTCTATTTGATTTAATTTAATTATCGTTTTATTATTATTTACTTGAAGTTACTAACTCATTTATTATTTTATAGATGCAAGCAAACAGAATCACAGTAAGAATTATGTTCCTTCTATTTCTATTATTTTTCTAACGATTTTATATTGTTGGATTTATTGTTAAATTGCTTCCAATATTAATGATAATTCTATTATATATTTATTGATCACCATATTGCATTTTTAAAGGGAATATGTAATAGAAAATCACGCCTAATAAGATAATTTGGACAACCGGTTTAGGTTCCTTTTTTTAACTTGTTGTTTAATCAAGTGATCACAAATATTTAGAATTATATGTTGCATTAATATTCAACCAATTTAGCTTGTATGCCTTTGAGATCTCAGGAATCACTTTTCACTATAAGAATTGAGTAGAGGCCAACACGGGCGAATGTGACTCCATGACTCACGTCGTACCATCATCCCCGATCCTCCTTTCGTGGTTCCGAACCATATGGAGTTAGTAATCTCATGGATTATGAATGGGGTGTAACCTTCACGGGTCAATCGTCGTTGCCTATTGTTGTCCCTTTATTCGTTGTTGCCTTTCATGATCCGTGAACGGTTTATAAGTTCCTTAAAAACTTGTTGGCGACTCCCTACTTTCCTTGTCCCTAATCGTTGTCCCTAATCGTATTATGACAATTTCCACTTCCTATGAGTGCCAAGCATATTCACCACATGCTTTAACGTAGGCGCACTTCAAACGACGCCTACACCACGAAATTCCAACTTACCTAACAATTCAAATTTTCTATGGTAGTTTGAGTCCTCAAGGTAGGTCGAGCTTAGATGCCAGAGCAGGAGGCCCAATCATGAACAAGAAGGTGGAAGAGGTTGTTGATGTAATAGATGATGTAGTGAGGAACTACATGAGTTGGCAAGAGGTTGAGGAAGAGTCAACAAATGAGTGTGCCTCGGTTAATCAAGTCAATGCCATCAACAAATTGTCTACTCTATTTTCGGACTTAGGGAAGGAGGTTGCTTCTATCAAAGCTAAGCTTGAAAATTCATCTTAACAAGCACAAGATCTTCCCTCTTAATTAAAAGGGAGAGGTACATCCTCTTACTCTAACCCTCTTTTCGCTTCTTGTTGCATGATTAGAGAATGTTTGTTTGTGATTTATGCGGAAGAAATGATCATGATTCTTCTAATTGTCCAAATGTTCCTTGTGATGGATGGGATGAATACGATGAAAATTAAAATTTGCATGTGAATTATATTGGAAATAGTGGTTTTGGATCTAGAGTTAATGCTCAAAAGAATGTTGGAAATAGGAACTATCACAACCATGGGAGCTACGATAAGTATAACCAAAATAGTGGTTATAAGAACCAAGTAACCCAAGGGTTTCGTGGTAACCATAACAACTTTGGTTGTAATGATCAAAGGTACGACCAAGAATATGAGGATCATAACCAAGGTTATGGTAATCATAGTCAAAATTCCGGAAAAAATCTTGACAAAGGTAATTGGAGTAACCAAAGTAGAGGAAATTTTCAAAATGATGCTCAAAGGGGTTCCTCACCCAAATGTACTCCAATAACTCAATGCCAAAGTGGTGATTCTTATGATCAACAATCTCAATTTATGAGTAAGCTAGCGAATTTGATGGTAGATCAAGCCAAGAAGTTGGACGATTACATAGCCTCTAGTGACAAAATGTTTCATGGCCTATTAATCATGGAAAGATGCTTGAAAACCACATCGTTCAACTAGCTAACCCCTTAAAAGATTGTGCTATCCCATCTTCTTTACCCTCGCAAGAAATTGATCCTAAGGAACCGTTTTGTCCTATCAACACTAGGAGTAGTGAGGTCCTTGAAGAGAGTGTTCCTAGGAAGAGTAAAGAGGGTGAAGAGAGGAGTGATTCGAGCAAAGAGAATAAGCATGAAGAGTCTAGCAAGATGATTGAGAAATCTAATGAAGAGCCAAAGGTGAAAGAGAAGAAGAAAGATGAGGTTTACAAGCCCAAACTTCCATACCTCCAAAATTTCAATAGTTACAAATTGGATGAGCAAATTGGACAATTTATTGAGATGCTGAAGAAAATTCATCTTTCTATTCCTTTCACTGAAGTCTTGGAACAAATGCCAAATTATGCTAGGTTTCTTAAAGAAATTTTGAGCGGTAAAAGAGATTACAATATGGTGGAACCAGTGAATTTGGGGGAGTGTTGTAGTGCCTTTATCCATAATGACTTACCCCAAAAGTTGAAAGACCCCGGAAGTTTCTCCATCCCTTGCATAATCAAAGGAAAGTTGTTCTTAAATGCCCTTTGTGATCTCGGTGCTAGCGTGAGTATCATGCCTTATTCCGTCTTCAAGAGACTTAAGATAGGTGAGCTCGCTCCTTCCATCCAATATGACCCTTCAATTAGCCGATAGATCAACCAATTTCCCAAAGGGAAGAGTTGAGGATGTTCCCCTTAAGAAAGGAGAATTCACAATTCCCGTTGATTTCATTGTGTTAGATATTGCGGAAGATGACCATATTCCTATCATTTTAGGGAGACCTTTCTTAGCTACCTCGGGATCTTTGATAGATGTCAAGGGAGGTCAAATTACTTTGAGAGTTGGTAACAAAGAGGAAAGTTTCGAGCTAAAATCGATGCATGAGTCTTTGTCTTTTGTAAAAGGAATCATGTGTGTTAATTCCCCTCGCTCTATTGATAATGTATGCATGATTGATACTTCAACTAACAAAATTCTTGAGAATTGTGATGATGTGTTTTTTTTGTTTTTATTGCAAGAAGGTTAGTGAAGAGAAAAAGGAGTTTCCCAAGCTCATAGACGAGGAGGAGATCGACATTCCTCATTGGTTCGAGCTTCACCCTCAAGAGGAGGACGATGATCCTAAGAGTGTTGACGGAGCAAAATCATCTACAAAGAGGAACAAGGCAAAGAAAAAAGCACGAGCTTCTAGGAAAAAGAGAAAGAGAATGAGGTTATGGAAAGAGAAGCTTGCTTTTGAGGAACTGTCGAATGAAGTTTCATCCAGCAACAACGATAAATTGCTAAAAATTGAAGAGAAATTTGCTCCATCTGCCACTTTGAAGAAGGTGGTGTTCTTTGACCCTCCGTGATTTGGAGGAAGGGTGAGCTAAGGACCTTAAGCAAGCGCTTCCCGGGAGGCAACCCGGAGATTTCTAACCTTTTCTTTTGATTTCAATTTTTCTTAATTTTATTTCTTTTAGTTTCTTTTCTTTTCTTTCATTTGTTTTACTTTGGATTTATAGGTTAAATTCTTGGAAGTTGCATTACATCAAGTGGAACGAGCTATAGAATGGTAGTTTGCGGTTTTTAATGTGCTTTATGTTCAATTTTATTGAAATTTTGAGGAAAAAGGGGTAAGAATTGTTAGGAAGGTAAGTTAGGAAATTTGTGCTTAAGTTTAAGAAATTGGAACTTGGTGAGTTCATCGTGGTGCTACCATAATTTGGGGTGTTGAACCCACATTTTTCACATTTAGAAACTGATCGTTATGCCGGGGTCAAAAATCTCGGAATGGTAGTTATCGATGTACCCACGCATGAACGCATCAAGGAGAGTGGCAAAAAGAACAGCAAGTGGCGCGGGCGCACCTAGTCTCTGCGTGGCCGCGCACGACACTGGCCCGGGTGGGCAACCAGGCCGCGCGGCCGCGCATCCCTTCCGTGCTTATTTCTTTCTTCTTTCTTCTTTCTTTTCCCTCATTTCCTTTTTACCCTCTTTCTCACGAGCTCAAACTTCCTTCACCCTCACCAAAACTGCACCTCACCCTACTCACACTTATCAAATTTTCACTTAAATTCAACCAAATTTCCATCACAATTCATCAAATCCTTTTGTTATTCTTCAAATTTTAACAAATTCATACTACATTTCACCCATAAGAATCACCATTCTCTTTTTTTTTGGTAAGTAAGCAATTATATTACTAACAAAAAACTGTACAGAATATACAAATGTAAAAGCCTGTCAAGCAGGCTACTACAAAACTACACCAGACCCACAGGTCACACACCCCTAGGTTCCAATTCCCAATGTGCCACCTTCTAGGAAGGGTTCACCTAAGAAACCAGAACACCTATCCAACCTTGACTCCCTATAATCTTCTAAGAAGAACACAGGGAGCCAGGGAAGGAAGACCAGCAACCACCAAAAAAACCAAACACACCCTAGGAAAACTAGTTACATTTGAGGCTATACAGCCATTTACAATCATTCCTAGACCACTTACTACTTATCATTTGCTGACATCATCCCAAAACTTCAATTTTAATTGTCTGAATAATTTTGTCTGGGTGGATAATTGCTTTTTTCCATAATTCATGATTTCTGGCAAACCAAATCTGGTAAATCACAGCAGCCTACACAGCAAGCAACACATTCTGCCTAGTCTTGATCTTGCACCCCTCTTTCCAAATCTTCCAAGCATTTTCAATACCGTACTGCAGAACTGGAATATTGACCCAATTACAAATCTTGCTCAAGCATTTGTGACTGTAGATGCACTCAAAAAACAAATGATTAATAGTTTCAGTGTGCAGACCACAAAGCAGACACCTATCATTTTCACAGGCATCAAACTGAACTAGTTTATCTCTAGTCCTCAATCTTCCCAGCATTGCTAACCAAACCACAAAACAGTGCTTAGGAACATTATATCTGCCCCACACCCATTTATACCAAGGCACTTTATCCATATGACCTTGAATCCACCTATAACAATCAGCAATTCTATACTTCTTATTTAACCAATTGTTACTCATAAACCCTTCTTTTAATTCATCCTTCACTTTGCAAAGCATTTTCCATCCCCATCCTACATCTTTCTTGGGGACATGATCCCACCAGTCCTGATCCTTTATATAAACTGCATGCACCCACTTAACCCATAGTGAATCAGTCTTCTTTGCAATCTTCCAAACATAACTCCCCAATGCAGCTCTATTCCAAGCTAAACAATCCCTGATCCCAAGTCCTCCAGCAAACTTAGGTCTGCAAATCCAATCCCATGCCAAGGGGGAAGATCTAGAGAGAATAGCTTTCCCATCCCATAAGAAAGCTCTACACAACTGTACCATCCTGAGCATAACCCTCTTAGGGATTAGAATACACTGGGTTCAATAAGTATGCAAGCTTATCAGAACTGCATTGACTAAAACAGCTCTAGCACTATAGGACAGATTTCTAGTACTCCAGCAATGCAGTTTACTCATCATCTTATCAATCAAAGCATCATAGTCCTTTACTTTCAAATATTTATCATTCAAAGGAATACCCAAGTACTTGAAAGGCATCTCACCTGTCACAAACCCAGACAGCATCAGAATATCATCCTTAACCTGGGTGGGGACATTTCCAAAATAGATGGCTGACTTCTCAGTATTAACCTGCAATCCATATCTCTTTTCAAAGGTCTTGAGAGCCTTGATTAAGAAATGAACAGAACTCTTATTACCAAAGTAGAACAACATTAAATCATCTGCAAAAATTAAATGATTCAAAGCCATCTTCTCAGATATTTGATGAAACTTAAAGCCCCTCTGCTTACCTATTTTCCTTAACATTCTTGTCAAGTATTCCATAATGAGCAACAAAGAGTAAAGGGGACATTGGATCACCTTGTCTGATCCCCTTTTTACCAACATAAAAACCATACAAGCCCCCATTGATCATAAGAGAGAAAGAAGGAGTTCTAACACATTACATAACCCACTTCACAAACTTTCCAGGAAAACCTAAAGTCATCAGCATCCCTTCAATAAAATCCCAACTAACTGAGTCATAAGCTTTCCTTAGATCCACTTTAATAGTACATCTAGGTGGCTTCCTTTTATTGATGTACCCCTTCAGCATATCTTGGCATACCAAGATGTTGTCAAGGATAGATCTCCCTGCAACAAAAGCTCCTTGACAAGAATCAATTAGATATGGGAGCACTTCCCTTAATCTCTCACAAATCATCTTAAAAATGATTTTATACAACACATTATAACAGGCAATGGGCCTAAATTGAGTAACCCTATTAGCATTCTCCACTTTAGGGATCAAAGTGAGAGTAGTAGCATTAATCTGTTTGAGAATCTTCCCATCCACAAAGAAATCTAAAACAGCTTTAGTAACATCAAGGCCTGTTACTTCCTAGGTAGCTATAAAAAACTTACTAGAAAACCCATCTGGCCCAGGAGCTTTATCATCTTCAATACCCCAAACTGATTTCTTCACATCTTGAGCATTAAACTCTCTACACAATCCTTCACCCTGCTCAGCATTAATACCCCTCACTAATAACTGCAGGATGAACTTACCCAGTTGCATCAGCTGAAGTTCCCAACAACCCTTTATAGAAATCCAAGAAAGCATCACACACCTTGCCAGGATCAGAAACCACACTCCCATCCTCCTCTACAATTGAATGAACACTATTCTAAATTCTCCTTTTCCTTAAAATAGCATGAAAATAAGTAGGATTCATATCACCATTCTTTAACCAGTGAATCTTAGCTTTTTGCTTTAAAAATTTATACCTAGCTGAATGGGCATCATTATAATATAAGCCTGACTAGCTTCTCTCTCTGCTGAAATCAAACCCTCATTCCTAGGATCTTTTTGCAAATCAGCTTGTATGACAGCCAGCTTCTTTTCAGCAACAGCATCAGCAGTTTCCACACAACTGAAGTTAACCAAGTTTATAGTCTTAAGCTTCTTCTTGGTTTCAACAAGCTTCTTAACCACTTGAAACATAGCAGTTCCCCTTATTCCTACAGCCCAAGCATCCTTAACAACATCCATAAAACCAGGAGCATCCACCCAAATATTGAAAAATCTAAAAGGTTTCCTCATTTGGACACTATCTTTCAACCATTTCACCCACAAGGGCAATGATCCATAAGACGCTTAGGGAAAAAAATAGCTTGCATATCTGGAAAAGTATCCAGCCAACTATTATTAACTAAGACCTTAACAATCTTAGTGCTCACTCTATTCAATCCATCTTACTTATTACTCCAAGTGTAAAACATCCCTCCAGTTTTCTAGTCAAACAAGCTAGCATCACATAGACATTGCCTAAATGGCTCCACCTCATCAATAGCAACCACAGATCCAATTCTATCATCTAAGTGCAACAAATTATTGAAATCACCACCCACGATCCAAGCACCCTGCATATTTACAGCAAACTCCCTTAATTGATCCCACAGCTCCTTCCTCTAAATAGCAGTATTCAATCCATAAACCATAGTCACCTCAAATTTAATACCAGTTGCTTTATGAACAACTATACAATGCACCAACTGAGTCTCAGCCCTGACAACACACACATCAAAAACCTGGGGCATCCAAACCTCCCGGACCCTACAAGAATCATGCTTACCATAATTGGAACAAACTGACCAATCATTACCCATTCTAGCAAACACTTTCCCAAACTTATTCCTCTTCACCTTGGTTTCAAGAAGACCAAACAAACATATACTATGCTGCCTCATAAACCATAAGAAATCACATAGTTTGCTAGGCATATTCAGTCCCCTAACATTCCAAAAGCCAATATTATCCATCAAATAGATGAGAGCATTCCCCCACCTCAAACACACTGAATCTATTAGAACTCCTACTAAGCTTCCCTTTAGCATTCTGAGCCTGTGAAATACCCCTCCCTTGCTGTCCACGAGCTATTTCACTCTCAAATCCTTTTTCTACATCTACCCCAGTGCTATCCTTCCCTAAAGCCACATTCTCATCATTACTACCATTTGTCCTGTTCCCAGGCACTGTTTCCTTTTGTTGCATAGAATTCTTCTTAATCACTGGTTTCATTCCTTCTTTGGCTGAGCTTTCTGTTTCATCCTGGCTTGCACCTTGTGATTAGGGCATTGAGGATCAGCATGCGCCATACCCCCCACACACCTTACAGACAATAGGTCTCCACTCATACTCTATTTTTTAATTCACATTCAGCCCATTCTCATCCAGAAATTCAATATGATCCGGCAATATAGCATTGAACTTAACCTCCACCATTATTCTAGCAAAATCCAACCTCTCCTTTGTAGCAGTTGCCTTGTCAGTTCTGATAGGTTTACCCACCGGAGAA